CGCGAGGGAGCCCATACAAATTGGCTCTCCCCTCGTTCCCCTATTTCAATTTGTTGTGGGAAAAATTTCCCATCATTTCTTCGCAGCTAGACTCTACTCACACCCGTCTATTTTTTATTTTTTTCCCCCTTTATTTTAAGCTATGTCTGGTTCCAGCTTTTTCTTTATCTCTGTCCCATCAATACAAAACAAACAAAAAAATAAAAAATAAAAATAAAAACAGCACCCCTCAAACCTCTCCTGTCCTCTCATCCCTCCTCTCTTCCCCCCACATCTAGTCCCTTCCCTCCGTGTCCACAATTTGTTTCCTTTCTCTTGCCCTTCCTGTGTTCCTTCCCTTATTTCCCCCTCATCTAGTTTTAATTTATAAATCTTATTTATAATTTTATTTATAAATATTTGTAATTAATTAAGAAGTGCTCCCCTTTTCCCTAATATCTACAGTTCCTTCTCATTTCTTGTGTTTATACTTAGTCTCCTTCTTCCTATCAGTGTTCTCTACAATTATTTTAATATTACCCCTTTTCAACCATTCCTCCATGTCTCTATGTGTTCCTCACCTCACTGTGTTCCCTTGTAAGGAGGATAATACTCCTCTATTCATTTTACTTAATTCTCACTCTAATTTATTCTTCCTTCTATTACTAGTACTCCCCTTTCTTAATCCTTCCACCTCTGTGTCTAATTTGTGTCTATTCTCTACTTTTCTATCTCTTATCCCTCCCTCCAACCCAGGGAGAGAGGAAAGAAAGGGGAGGAGAGAGAGAGAAAACATAAATAAATAAATAAATACATCAATAAATACATTTATTTATTTTATATTGTAAGCAATGGCAAAATGATTAGGTCCATATCTGAAATGTAAAATTGGACCATGAGGAGTATGCGGGTGTGGGAACTGATTAAGTTAAAGTACATCTGTAACAAAACCTTTTTTGGGTGGGGTGAGGGAGTGAGTAGAGAAGTGGACATTTTTTAGAAACTCCTGAGTTTAGTGTCACTTTATAAGAGAACTAGGGTCCAAACTTTTTTGTCATAGTTCTCTTTAAGGTCACAGGAGGGCATATAATAATGTCCTCCTGTGACCCAAAACTCAGCATATAGCAGACCATTGTCCGCTATATGCTGACAGTGCAGAGCCACTCTGCAGCCAGGACAGATCCAAACAATATTGTAGGGATCCACCCCAAACAATATTGTAGGGATCCAGCCTTAAATTTAAAATTACTCTTGACCATAAGGGGTATTCGGGTGTGGGAGCTGATTAATTTGAAGTGAATCTGTAACAAAAAGTTTTTTGGGTGGGGTGAGGGGATGAGTAGAGATGCGGACATTAGCCCCTTCATTTTTTTGCCCCATAAATACAACAGGAAGAGAGATTAAATCTCTTCAAAGTGAGAGAAAACCATACTTGGACAGTTCTCACCAGAGAGTGGAACAGGTGACATGGTGACAATGGCCACCAAGACAAATAAAGAACAGGAATCTGCCCAGATGGGACCCAGACACCAATCAAAAAAAGAGGTTTTAATACCTCCCTACCCTATCTGAAACATGTTTTTTCTAAAAAATACACCCTAAAGGGTTTCTAAACCCTTCATTTTTTTGCCTATATCTACTGCTTGCAAGCAGTAGATATAGGCAAAAAGTTTTTAAAAAAACCCGCTTTAACTAGTTTTAAACTTACCTCGTTATCGCTGATCGCTCCCGCGCCGAGAATCAGGAAGTGATCGTACGGCCGCAAACGATCTTGGGGCGGGCGCATGCGCAGTTCCGATTCTCGGCCGGGAGACGAGCAGAGATGCAAGGTAAGTCTATGGACGCGTGCACCTGCATGCAGACATCATTGGATCTGAGGGACAGAGCAGTCAGCGCTGGATCAGAGAGCCGCCGCACCGCTGGAGGGACAGATGAAAACATGGGGAAAGAAGAGGAAGATCAGAATAAGAGACATCATTTAAGGTAAGTGCTTACATGGGGGGGAGGGGGAAAAAATTTGACTTTAATGTCACTTTAAGCATTAACCATTTTAATGATTCGCTGTCTTTTTTTGAATAAGGCTTATTTTCATTCAAATGCTCCCTTATCTCACTCATTCACATGGGACTGGTTGTTCTCAACTTTCTAAACACTGGTTGTTCAAATTATTGATTTCCAATTATGTTGTAATAGTTTTTTTTCTATAAAAAATATCTCTCTCTCTCTCTCTCTCTCTATATATAGATATGTATATATATATATTCAACTCTTATCAAGCTACTGTTTGTAATATAATATTAGTTTTAAATATTGTACCAACTGGCTCACCCATAAAAGTGTAAGGACGCAGTATGGTACCCATAGCAATTAATTAGAAATTATCTTGTTCTAGTCTGACACTAAACTCAGGAGTTTAATCTTAGAAATGCATTCAAGTACCTTAACTAATAAGAAAAATGTATATTATTTGTGTATCACTCGGTTGTAGATCCTCAAATCATCTCTGAATTGGTGCCGACACTGTCCTTCCTTCTGGAGGGCGGCTACTTGTGTTCCCCATGGTCCCTGTGCGTTTGTTGTCAAGTAGTCACCGCTCCAAGCTCACTCCTGTGATGGTCTACAATCTCAATACAAATTAGTAAACTAAACCTGAAATTGTAGTCCATCACGGGAGCGAGCTTGGAGCGGTGGCTACTTTACAACACACACAGAGACCATGGGGAAGAAAGATAGCCACCCTCCAGAAGGAAGGACTGTGTCAGCATGAATTCTGAGATGATTTGAGGATCTACAGCCAAGTGTTACACAAATAAGCTACAGTTTGTCAATAGTTAGGTTTTTGAATGCATTTCTAAGATTAAACTCCTGAGTTTAGTGTCAGTTTATAAGAGAACTAGGGTCCAAACTGTTTTGCCATAGTTCTCTTTAAGGTCACAGGAGGACATATACTAATGTCCTCCTGTGACCCAAAACTCAGCATATAGCAGGCTATTGTCCACTATATGCTGACAGCGAAGAGCCACTCTGCAGCTGGGGCAGATCCCAACAATTTTGTAGGGATCCACCCCTCAGCCTGATGGACAGCTGGCTTTGCCTTTCTAGAAGCAGAGCCAGCTGTGCCCGTTCCCTCCTCCATCCATTCCTCCAGTCAGTGCTGGAGGAATGGAGAGGGGAGGGGTAGTTCCTGTGAATAGAGTTGACTGACCATCACCACTCTCTGCAGGGAGAAGATCAGGAACTGACTGATCAGTGCTATGTGATTTCTCAGTTCTCAATCCATAGAGCTGACGTTTGACAACTTGAGTGTCACACCTCGGCTCCAATTTGGGGATTGAGTGTGTTTCACTCTCCCCACAATTCTCCTTTAAGTAAAGTGAATTCAGATTGGTTGTTAATATATCATGCTGCATTTAAAATTGCAGACTTCAGAAACCCACAGACTCTGGGAGGCAATTTAAAATATTAAAAGAATTGCATGTTTATATACGATACAAAGTTAGCCTGTGCGAATGACCTGCTTGCCAATCTACCTAAAACTAAGGTCATGCAAATTAATTTTTTTTATTATAGGAACAATCAGCTCTGATTCCTGAATCTCTTATAAACTGATGCATCACAAAGTGAACCCGGAACAGACATGCCTCCCAGAAATGGGAACTTGGTGGCAAAAAACCATATATACAGTTTATATTTGGAGCGTGTTGGTGTTAAACTCATCAAGTTGAAATATCAGTTTTTATTGGACTGAATGTTTATTGTAAAGAAACAATGGCTACACATATTGAAAGTAATCACTTTATAGCTGGTGAGATATATAGTGCAAAAACTTTGCTTGTCAGTGAGCATGTCTTAGCAAAACATTTTTAGTATTTAAATCTGGTCTCATCAGAATAATATAACATTTGGGAAAAAATATGCAGGCAAAGATTCCTACATTTGAGGAAATGATAGCAAATATCTCTACAAGCACAGTGTTCTTTCCTGTAACGCTCATATAAGCTGGGATAAAAGCGATCCAGACGCTGCAGAGCACCAGCATGCTGAAGGTGATGTATTTGGCCTCATTAAAACTATCTGGTAAATTTCTGGCCAGGAAAGCCACAATGAAATTCACAGCTGCTAGAAGCCCCATGTAACCCAGGAGGATGGAAAATGCCACAATAGAACCTTCATTACACTGAATGATTATTTTGTCTAGACATAAGTGGGTATTCATTTCTGGAAAAGGAGGGAAAATGGATAACCAAATCAAGCTAATTAAGACCTGAACAAATGAAAAAATAAAGACAACACAGTGGATACATTTTGCTTGAATAAATTTCCCCCAGCAACTTCCAGGTTTGGTGGCTTTGAAGGCTAGATAGACCATGATAGTCTTGGCCAAAATACTGGACATAGTCACTGAGCAGATGATAGCGTATGAGGTGTGGCGCAGCAGGCAGGTGGCATTTACAGGACGGTCTATGAACAAAAGTACATTGAGGAAGTTTAACATGATGGAGACCAGTATGAGGAAGCTCAGACTTTGATTATTAGCTTTGACAACTGGAGTATCTCGGTATACAATGAAGATAATCAAGATGATTGATGTTTTAACAAAATATGTTACAGAAAAGATTAAGGCAATGAGTGCTATTGGATCATTGCTATAGGAAAGAAAATCAGTTGGCTTTGGCGCACACTGGTTCTTCTTGTTTGGCACTTTATGCACAATCCTTTGTCTAGAAAAAAGTTAAATAATACATCTGTTAATTCTTTTTGAGAACATTATATGGGGTTAATTTACTAAACTTACTACTTTTCAATATAAACATCCGCTTTGTTAAGTAAAAAGCCTCGGAACATTTAGTAAATCAACGCTACTGTGTCAGAAAAGAACAAAATTAAAATGTGTGTAAAAATATATATTTTTTTAATATCTGATTTTATTTTTATTTTCCATACCTACTTACCAAACATGTATCCCACAACATTTCGCAGAGCACATATGGTACCTTTAATATGTAGCTAAACAGTGTATAGGGCCTTTAAACAAAGAATGCGGTAACACTGTGTTAAGCTGGTTGGCAGACATTTTGGGATCTCCACTGGGTAAGACACCAGACATCTCTATGAGGTCCAAGGCCATCCTGACCACATGTAGACCTCAGTCCTGGTCATACAGCACACACATAACACACCCTCCCCAGACAGGAGGCCTGGGGGAGAAAGAGGCTCTCACATGGTTGCACCCAGATATTTATGTCCTCTTCCAGCATGCACCAGTGGCCATGAAACGCCTAGTGATTGGCTGGAGGGACTTAGATGTCCATAGTATTCCACTATTGGTTGCACTGCTGTTTTGGAAGGCTACACCCAGCAGCAGGCAGATGCACTCAATAACAGAATCTTTAGGGAAAACCAAATGAGTATAGACTATACAATCAGCCAGACCAAATGCAGTCTCAGCAAACTAAATGTAAGTAGTCAATCCACTTAGGGCAAGGTGGCTACATGTAAGTAATTGTTTATTAAAGAATACTATTTAGGGATTTTAACAAACCAGGTGCTTTAAAACAAAAAGTGTGCAAAATCTTATAGTTTATGTTCTTTAGAAAAGCAACTACAGCCTAAACAGAATACACCTGAAAACCCTGTCACCTGCCAGCATACTTCAGAGGAGGACCAATGCACTGTGTGTGGACGTAGCGTTCTCTCTCTAATAGTGCGACACATTCCCTGCTGGGTCACAGCTAGAGATCTCCAATTAGCATGGGATGTGAGCTTTGCTGATTGCAGAGCTATAGGTCCTATTAAGTTGGGAGCATGTTGGACATCAGTTAAGAGTCCACTCCTTCCATTCACAGAACAACAACTCTACTGTACCACCCTTTTTATTTGATGTTCCTATCATATATTTTGCTAATTTAAACTGAAAGTTCAGTCGGGCTTTAAAATTCTCAATATTTGATGACCTTTGTAAATGCTCTAAATCTTATATCAATTCCCACAAAAAAGAACTGTTGACTATAAATATAATATTACTATATTACCAATTATTTATTTTAATCACATTATCAAGATGAAACCCTAAGGAAGTAGTTCACCACAAAATGGGTGAAGCTCTTTGTGGGTGCCCTTCTTAATATATAGCTCTATGTAGTCTGCTGCCATTAGAATGCTGCTGGTAATCTTCCTCCATTATCATTTATTTATTTAGCATTTCTTCTGTTTTTGGATATTTATTATGGTTAATTTGGTATAGGTTATAGAAGATACCAAATGCACGACTGATGGATTTGTCAATTATGTCTGGCCACAAAACATGGGTTTAAACACCTCAGCCGCCTTTTACTTAACCATATAACAATTAAGAGTTACCAAACATAATAACCAAGATAACATACCAAATAAATAACCTGAATGACTGTTGGTTCTGAGCAAAGGTCTTTCGATGTCCATCAGCCAAAATAAGGCCTTTACTAAAACCCCTAAATGTCCCCAGCAGCAGCCCCACCAGCTTGAGGACAGTTCCAGAATGAAACATTCCCAACTTCCAGAGGTGCCGAGTCCCTGTCAATAGCTGACGCCAATGGGGGAAGAACCATACCACCAGATGGCCCCCCATTATTATGACTGTCCTACATTTTACAGACCCCCAAAGACCCCCTAACCCACCAAACTGCCTATCCCAACTGCCATCAAAAATATATACAGGAGGGTGGACTGGACAACCTGCTTCCTCAATTGACCTTCCAGAAATAACTACCAGCAGCCCTTGCAGTTCCTTCTCATTCGGTTCCTTCCCACAACCCTGACCCTGAACCTCCAATCAGGTAAGATCTGCTGATTTCTCACTCTTTTAACCTCAGGGAAAATTCCTTCTCCCAGTCATGTAGTCCCGTTGCTCATCTGGGTCTGTCTTTTACAGGTATTTAGATATACAAATTAATTTCTTATTTTCTCATAATTTTTTCACCTATATATACAATATCAATATTAGTTGGTCAACTGTTTCAGTTACATTAACCATGTTATACGGTGTGTTGGAACTCGAATCCTTTCTGACTAATTGTTCTGCTCTGAACACTAGCTGTTGGTACTGTTTTGATGCAGATTATACATTTATCAAATTGTTATATGAATGATGGTAATTGTCCTGGAGTCTCATGTATAATATTTTATTTGTGATGATAGCACATTACAGATATTTCTGTAGGGCACTTTTGTGTAATTAGGGAATATGTTTTAAGGGGGTTTATGTGTTAAGGTTGCATCTCAATACTATAATTTAAAGTGGAGCAATAATAAAAAATTTACCAGCAAGGAGATGTATTTATTGCTGAGGAGACTCTGTATGTATCCTTTGTATATTTCTAACATGTCTGCTAGCAAGTCTCTTTAAAGTATATATTGAGCTACACATGTGGCACTTAGTGTACAGTCTTGCCATGCTTTGAGTGTCAGGAAGAAATGACTTATATGCACAGGAGTTACGCCATCCAAAGTTGGCCAATCAAGATGACTGAAAATGCCTAACCCAAAAGATGACTATTTAGAAAATCTCAGTGTGGACAAAGGATGTCAGGAATATAGCAAATTTTAAGGGGAGGCAGGTGCATTGGACTTAAAGTGACATTAAACCCTCAGATTTTTTAACATAAACCAATACTTTAATGTGTGCCTTACTGTAATCCATGGTAGTTTCCTTTCTCTTTGCTGCTCTTCCTTTTAAATCCGTATCTCTTCTCATGCTTGGGGAGAACTTCCCTTTGCAGCTGAGTGCCTCTTCCTGTAGTGCTGGCTCAGGTTGTGAACCTTCACACAGACACCATGTATCCATTTCAGAGACAAGGCAGTCTGCTGCAAAACAGAAGTTCTCCCCCAAGCATGAGAAGAGATACGGATTTAAAAGGAAGAGCAGCAAAGAGAAGCAAAACTACCATGGATTACAGTAAGGCACACATTACAATATTGTTTTATGTTAAAAAATCTGAGGGTTTAATGTCACTTTAAGTTCCGATTTAATAAAGTTCTACTTATACTAAGCAGTGTGGCTTAGCTTTTTTGTGGCATCTTGTATAATATGTAATTGGATTTGGTTGACTGGTCAGCATGAAGTTGTGGTGCAGTTTAGGATGGTATCATATAAATGTTCTAATTCTAATTAGGATAAATGTTTAGCTATGCAAACAATAGGGTTAAAGTGGAGTTTCCCTGTAAAGAGATAAACACATGTATGCAGTTAGGAGGAGTTTCACCTGTCTCATTAGATATCTCTCCATCTGAACATTGGACACAGTCAAAGCAGCATCGATGAATTCCTTTCATCATATTTCTTCTATAACCATTAGGGCATTCTTCTGAACACTGAGAAACGGGAATCTAGAACAGAAAAAAAACATATCCTATTTTGACTGTTTTTGACCAGTTTTCTTTTAATAACTTAAACATATAGGAGATATTCTTTAACACCAATTTCATCTCTGAATTGGTGCTGACACTGTCCTTCCTTATGGAGGGTGGCTACTTTTGTTCTCCATGGTCCCTGTGTGTGTTGTAAAGTAGCCACCACTTCAAGTTCGCTCCAGTGATAGACTACAATCTCAATGCAAATGAATAAACTAAACACAAGATTGCAGCCCAACATGGGGGTAAACTTGGAGCGGTGGCTATTTTTCAACACACTTAGGGAACTTGGGTAATAAAAGTAGCTACCCTCCAGAAGGAATGACAGTGTCAGCACCAATTCAGCGATGATGTGAGGATCCTCGGCCGAGTGATGCATAAATAAGCTTGGACTTTACAACTCCTTCAAAAACCAAGCTAGTGATAGCATCCTCTATAGTCCATTTAACATAGGCTTCATTTAAGGTAAGAATATTTTCAGTCAAAGAGCACATATCCACCCAATATTTACAATCTTCCACTGTTTATACAGTATTACAGATTACTTATTTTTTCAGCATTGTACCACACTTACCACACCATGTTTCCAATACAATACAGCTTGGTTGACTACGAGCTCCCCTTGTTCTTGCAATGATGCATTGAAAACTGCAAAATGTTTTATTCGGAACCTGTTATTATTTACAACCGCATAGCTATATATGTTGTAAAAAGTAGTCATTTCTCCTCTCTCATTAAAGTATACTTCTTCCCCCACTGGATCTTGGAAGCGAACTCTTTCTTGAAAGTACTAAAACAATAAAAAATATTAAAACTGAGCTTTAGGATTCTGGGTAATTATGTTACAAAATATTCAATCTTTCCGGAGGGCTCTGCCATTCACGTAAGTCCACGGTGTGGCGTGTTGCAGTGACACCCCAATGCACCTTGCCAGCATAATTTTACAAACCTGCATTTTTGTTCACCACAATGCACAGACGGGAAGCATCTGTGTGTTGCGGTACAGTGCCTTGATAAAACAAACAGTGCATGTCTGATTTTATATGCATTATTGTATATTGACAACCCATTCGAAATAATGGCTGCCTTCATACCTCAGAAATGTCCAATTGGAATTTCTCCAGACTTTGAGGAGATTTCCTTTCATTTCCTGTTGTATCCCTGAGATAAGACAAGAGCAAAAATTTGCTTAGACAGCAATACAAATCCTTGCCTTTTCTATTCATAAAATGATTTATGTTTATCAAAAGTACACATTAGGGTGTATTAACCTCCCTGGCGGTATGACTCTTTCTTTTTTTCTTCCTTTTTCGTACTATTTGTTTTCGGGTTTTTTTCGAATCTCCCGCCGGTTCTGCCCTCCTGTGACGCGGAGCCTCGCAAGGGACGGAACCCAAAAGACGGATGTCAGAGGGCACAGCGCGGCTTGAGGGACAACTTAAGAGACGTGCTGTATATTCCTGATGTACATTAATTTACATTTGCATCGCATTATGGCCACTGAATGGAGCCAAGGAGCTTGGATTCATTCCATGCAGTGGCCATAACATGTTCTAAATGTGAAAGTCAGATATTCAAATTTTTCATTTTAAGTCTGTGGGATGCCTTTTATGTTAATTTGTTACCTTTATTTGTATTTCTTTTTAGGTCAGAGGCCTTGTGTGTTATGGATGCTGGGCCACTCCTTTATATTCTGGGCTGCCCATACTGCAGAGCTTCAGAGTAGTGGCCTGCAGTTGTATTTTCCCATAGTTAGGCTGATTTGCATTGGTCCTTAGGGGCTTCTTTTATCTGAGATTACTTTCTATGCAATTTATTGGGTTGCTTTGAAAGGGCCTCCATACAATTTTGGCCTTCATGCCAGGGGTAAATGATATTGGGGTTGTTCTTATAAGAACCCTTATTAAGGTGATGCATCAGTTTTCTTGGTTGCTCATCCTCTGGTAATGTAAACTTGGTCAAACGTATCCTCACCATTTTATCTGGAAGCAGGCTAGGAACCACAGAGCCATGGACAGGAATCATGTTAACCTAAAAATTTGCTGATTCAGACAGTGGTTTTGTCACTCACCACATGGATCTAGAGGGCAATTTTTCTCCCTTTTGAACGAATGGCATCGACCTCTACAAGGTGAGACTCCATGTTCAATTTTCTCTTGCAATACATTGAATAGGCTCTGGTGCAGTGGCAGTCAGGAAGTTGTTGAGGGGTTATAGCCTTCCTAATGGTGACTGTATCCCCCTTCTGGGCTAAGGTGGTGGGCGGCTGATGTAGTGGTATTAGTTTCCAGTTAATTAATAGAGTCCATGCAATTCTATGTGGACAATTTACTTTGGTTAAAAGTTAGACACTGAACCCAAGTAAATGAGTCCTCAAGAGAGTTGGAAACAGGTAGCCCAAGTAGATCCCTGAGCTTAATCTTTGTGGTTTGGGGCTGAATTGGCTCCTAATTAATGTATGATCTTTTCCATATGTAGTCTGGCCAGACCCTCCAGTAACTGATTTGTGTCCAATAAGGTATAGACAAATTAGCAGGATACATGCATAACATTTTAACGTATGTGTTTGTATTATTATTTAATAAACTGTTGTACATTTTTACAAAGTTTGTTTGACTGATTCCCAAGGAGTACATCCCTATGGGGGTTATCTTCCTATTTTCTAGATCTATAAATCGGACAAAAAAAATTAAAAAAAGGAAAAACAAATGTAAAAAATGGGCAGACTAGTTGGACCACTTGGTCTTTTTCAGGTGTCAGTCCTCTGCATTTCTGTGTGAACACTATAGACCAAAAAGAATACCTACCCATGAAAACGAGCTGCACTACACCAAAGTCACAAACTCTGTGGTTCTCTTACCTTTTTAATGCTTTTATGATCTCTTAGGTCACGGCTTCCAGGATATTTGGACATATATATTTGCATTTCATGAAGAGAATGTGCCATGGCATAGACAGCTTTGTAAACTTGGTAAGCTGTGCCAAACTTTTCAGTGTTGTACAGATGATTGCCTAGCTGATTTATCTTAACACTGCTGTTGCATGGATGCAATTTAATTTTATAATTGTCCTCAATTTCAAAATTTAATAACTGATTTGAGGTTAGGCATTTGAAGTAAATTGCAAGGATATGTTCTAGCAGAAGGTCATTTGGGCGATTTGCAGTGCTGATGTTATCAAGAAATCTTTTGAGATTTGTAATGTTCTTTGTTAAAGGTGAGAACACCAGACTTCCATGGAATGATGTCCTAAATTTGGAGGCAAGAAGGATGTGCACTATAGGGCCTGCTGATATAATTAATGTTTTATCATGATGACCGTTACATGCCAGACCAATAAACATGATGGTGGTCAATGTAATGGAACAAAAAACAACAATTTTTTATTTTGATTTATTAAAGATTTCTGCTTTCTTTAATGTTATTTCTTCTCTTTCGACAGTTCTATCAGTAACTATACGAATAATATACTCAACACATATATCATAAACAGCAGCTGCTCTCTTTAACTCTTGACTCCTTTTCTCACCGCCATCATCATGGGATGTTATAACACCAATCCATGTCCAGCCAAAATGTTTCATCAACCTAGCAATTGCCAGATACTGAGTCTGGTCACTAGGGAGTGTTTGGAAGAAAGATGGGTAGATGTGCTTATTGGTTAGGAGAGAATCTGTTGCACCATAACTGATCTAAACAATAATACAAAAGGAAATCATAATTATATTGCAACAAGCAGGTAACATGCCATCTCAGTTTAAAGACAAGAAGTCATGAATGACAGAAGTTGCCAGACACATTTGACTGGACTTGTTTTGAAATTCCAAGAGATTTCCATAGCTAGGAGCATATCCCAGCATTTATAAACACACAGGTAACTTAATCTCCTTAATCCAATCACCACGGTGCCATAAAATGTGTCAAGGTAGATGTTGATTGCATGCTCTATTTTACATGATCTAGTTCTCCCCTGCTCACACTCAAGAAACCCCTAGCAACTTCTGGAGGAATCCTAGGGTTCTAAAGAACCCTGGCTTAGAACGGCTGTTCCACCAATAAGGACAGAACAACCAAACAAACATTGCAGTCAGTAATTCTTACAAGAACAAGCTGCCAATTAATTGAGTATGCATGGTGATAAATTGATTTTACCTGGGTATATCCATATATTTTTAGGATTTCAAACACCTGTAGAGAACTTTCTGAACTTTGATCTCCAATAACACCAGCCAGTTTGTCATGATCTCGGCAGGAATAGTTAGGAACTGTGTCACCAGAGCCAGATAACATCTGTAGTATGCTATCCACAGCCTTACTTACATCATTACAGGAATCAAACACATGATAACCCAGAGTCACATTGGGTAAAATATTAGTATTTCTGTTTATTTCATCTATGGCAAAAATGAAAGTCAACATGTAGCGATAGTAATGGGGCATGGGCCTACAAGTGAAAAGAAAAACAAAGTAAATTTATATATGATTTACAATATTATTAATACCTTGAAGGTGACTGTTACATAGTTCAATGTTTGCTGTGCTGTACTCAATTGGAAATCACCTTAGCTCTCTTAAAGTGGGTTAAACTATTTAATCACATATGTGAAGTAGGCTGCCTATGCAAGTAAGACCAGGCTTTCTGTTTTTCTAATTATCCCTGTTGTAACATGTTGTAAATACCTGTTGGCCCTGCCAATAGAACCATTGGCTAATTACTTCCTTTCATAAGACGATAGCTCTGTTCCTTCTTCAGGTTGTCACCCTTGTTGATGCTGTAACTGCTTAGATGTTGGCATTATTAAGAGCCCTACTAGTGAATAGCAATGTCTAGCTCTGCCCATACCATAAACCGTGACAGCATATTTCAAACAGTATGCTACTCAGCTGCATTTACCAATAAAAAGGGTGAATTGCATTTCTGTGTCCCTGTAAGGTTGATTCACTCTCTAATTGTTCAGATCAGCAGTGTCACTGGAAATCAAAGTTAGGTTAAATTCAAAATTTTTTGTTGCCACCAGAACAGGAATAGAAGCGAAATCTCCCAACGGGGATAGGTCTTACCAATAAAACTTCTAATAGGGATAAGCAAATTGACCGTGGACCATTTGTTTAACCCATTGTAAGTTCTTGAAATTGTAAACTTTGGCCTAAACCCTACTGACGTCAATGTGGGGGTGACACTTGAAAATAAATTATGGCCATTTTTTAGGGCTTCTAGGCAAGGGGTTGTCCAAAAATAGCCACGGGGTGCTGGGCAATGGGCACTGCCACTGGGGACATGTATCCATGTAAAATTATGTCTTTAAAAATACCATTTAGTGGGAGAGGGTCCTCCTTTTAATGTGACTTCAAGGGCAGCAAGGAAAAAACATCAATCCTTTGTAATGCTTGTGAGATGCCTATAAGCTATGTGGTTTTACAGAAGATAACTATTCTAACGGAATCATCTATACATATTACATGTATGTATAACCGATTTTTTTATTTAAAATTTAGCCTGATTTAAATAAAGCAGCAGCACCCCAATCTGATTAACTTCAACTTGAAAGGGGGCTTTTCTGGGTAGTTTGGCTGTGACATCTGATTCTTTTATTTAGCAGTAATAGGCCAGAATTCAGCAGAGGAACAAGCTGTCCCATCAGATCTAAAAGTTATAGACAGATCTGACCCTTGACCTTCTCAAGACAACTTCTTAGTAGCACACATAAGGGGTGTAATCCTCTAGTTCTGTCACCTAGTATATGGAACAGCACCAGGGAGGAACAACATCATCCCCCCTTTCTGAGGGCTTGGAACAATGAAACAAAGGCTTGATGACTCAAATGTAGTAATGGCCAGAGTTTCGCAAAACTAAAAAAAAAAAGCATTTTGGCTGGGCACATGAATATCAGGGAGTATAAAGCATAGAGGAGAGCAGAGGGTATGATGAGAGGCAGTATGTGAAAGAGAGGAGTGCAGAATGTATGATAGGGGGGAGTATGTGGAGGAGAGGAGTGCAGAGGATAAGACAGCTAGCAATATGTGCAGAAGAAAAGTCATGATGGTATGACAGCTGGCAACTGGCACTATGTGCAGAAGAGGACCATGGAGTGTATGATAGTGGGCAGTATGTGCAGGAATGGACTATGGAGGGTATGATAGCAGGCATTATGTATAGGAGCAAAATGCAGATGGTTTGACAGCTGCTGGCAGTATATGCAGGGGAAACATTATGAAGGTACAACAGCTGGCAACTGGCATTATGTGCAGAGGAGACTGTGGAGGGTATGGCATTGGGCAGTATGTACAGGAGTGGAGTATGGAGGGCATGACAGCAGGCAATATGTGTAGGAGCAATATGTGCAATATGTTTCGGGGGAAAATCATTTTTGTTAACAATATGTGCAGGAGCAAAGTGTGCAGGATATAACAGCAGGCAGTATATGCAGGAGTGGAGTATTGACAGAATGACAGCAGACATTATGTCTAGGAGCAAAAAGTGGAGGGTATGACAGCAGCACTATGTGCAGGAGAGGAATGTAGAGGGTATGGCAGCAGGCAATATGTGGAGGAACAAAGCATGAAGAATATGACAGCAGGTAGAATATGCAGCAGAGGTGTGTATGTGCAGGAGCGAAGTGTGCAGGATATTACAGCAGCCAGTATGAGCAGTAGATGAATGCAGAGGGCATGACAGTGGACCATATGTGCAGGAAAGGGGAGTGTGGCTGGCTTGACAGCTGGCAGTATGTGCAGAGGAGAGGAACAGAAGAGTATGACATCTGGAGTTAAGTGCAGTAAAGGAATGCCAGAAGGTGGAACAGTGGGCAGTATGTGCAAGAACAAATCACTTTTTAGGATGATACCGATGAATGGCACTTACAAGTAGCAGTAATGACTAAAACCTGTTCCATCATAATACTGATGAACAGTGAATATTCCACCAATAATAATGTCTCCATCCTGAAAGGATCCAGTATTAAGCACAGAAAATATTTTCCGGATTAAACACGGCAGTCCAGTGATTAGGTTTTTAGTTTGCATCAGTAATAAGACACTAAAACATGCTAAGGCTTTAAGGAGCAAGCATCTTTCAGGCATTTTTGCAGTGAGCCAGCGCTACTCAATGCTTTCCAATCAATAACTCAGGTTATATTGTCTTAACAGGCAATACGGGTTGCTTGCTATCTTGAAGGTATGCTGGTCAAATGTGTAATCTTATATAGCCTTCAAAGTGTTATTAAAAAAAGGTGAATTATATTTAAGCTGATTCTTTTTTTTGGCTTTAGTTTGTATGATATTTCCTTTCTAGTATAATATCAAAAAATGAAATGAATTTCACTCAAGGGATGCCGGTTGTCTGACTCCGATTAATGCAGAACAGAAATAAAATATCTTACAAACAAAATGCAAGGGTATTTTTTTAAAGTGCATCTACTGTACAAGCAAATTTGCATGTCAACATAAATAAGTTCCTGCCATGTCACATTAGATAGAAATAGTATAATTTTGTCCTTTTTATTATTTGTTGAATTTTGTCTTTGTACTTTAGAGCTTTGTTTTGTATCTTAGAGCTTGGTGATTGTGGTTTAAGCTTGACCGAGTAATGAGACTATTTGGGTTCCCCTTGAATCAGGTCACCAGTGTAAGATCCTTAACATTTCTCCGTATACATTTATTTTTTCATATGATATGGTTATCATAAGTAAATATTAAATCAGATTCATATTAAAGACTTTTGTCTTGATATATTGTAAATATTACAGATCTGACACTGCTGTGAATCACCTCCTATATATTTTTGATCAAGTCCCCAATGCTTGAAAAATTGTTGTTTCCTACTTTATCACTATAGGTGTAACACCGTTGGGCCGCTTGCTCCAGTCTCCGCCGCGGTCCCCCTGCGTTCCAACGTGGAACGCGGAAGCCGCACAAGTTCCTGCTTGTGACACGGCAGCTGCGTTCCACTGTGGAACGCGGAAGTCGTTCGGGCCGATCAGTGGTCCCTCCCTACTTCCTGGCCCTATTTAAGGAGATGAACGAGGCAGCATGGCGTTCCGTGATTAATGTCAGAACGCCTGCTGTCTCCTGAACCTGGATCCCACCTTGCTGCCAATCGAGACTGAGACCTCCACTCCTGCTCTGCGGACCCCTCTGCTGAACTTCAGTTCCACCACTTGAGACAGAACCGCAAGTACCACTCCTGTTGGAGTGCTTACTCATTCTTTGAGATTGTGTCTGGTTCATGCAGCACCATCCACCATTATACTGATACCTACGCTGTACCTACTGACTGCATACAGGCTATGAAGTAATAGTACTGTCCCTGCTAGATACATTTGTTTTTGGCTATGATGGTTGAATCTCAAACTTGCCGTTAAGATTGTGAGTGACGCCTGAGATTCGTATCTGATTGGTCTCCACAGTGAAATCCCTCCGCAGTAGAGATCCAACCCTTGAAACTCCCGATGGTCGTGACAATAGGTAGGGGAGCTTGCTCATTGTCCAATCTATTTATTATACTCATTGGGGTTATTATTACCCATCTATCGTTCATCTATATACCAATTAGACATGTAAATCTAGTTTAATTCCGAATGGATATTCGTTAAATGAATTTCGTGAAATTCGGATAGTCAGATGTATTCCTTTTTTCCAAATTTAAATGCACACGAATGCGAATGAATCAGAATGTCCATTTAATGAAATTTGGATCCATCTTAACTTCATGCAAAATGAAACTAAATCGGACATGTGACTGGCCAATCAGAGTTGATGGGGTTGCATTACAGCCAAGGTCATGTCACCATGTTCCAAAACAAAACTTGAGATGGATCTGAATTTCAAATAACAAACCAAATCTAATTTCTGATCCGAAGTCTGAAAAACAAAAGAAATTAAAATCTGAATCGATCAGAAACTAAACTAATTTTTTGTGGGGTTACATGTCTAATACTCATCTATCGTTCATCTTGCATATGGCTCTTGATGTTACTTACATCACAATCTAAAGTAAGATCTGTTATTCTGTCATAATCACCCATGTAACATTTTGTTTATTTGAAGTTTGTACAATTTAATATATTTGTGGATATTTATTGCATATCTTTCATACATTTACAAGGTCTCATGAGCTCTTGATGAAGCAGTTTTCCCGTGAAACGCGTTGAGTAGAAAATTGATCCTGTTATATTTCCACTTTTGAACTTGAAAACTATGGTTAATGTAATATATAAATTCATATATGTATTGTGATAATGGAGAGGCATGAATGATAATTAATGAGATGCGCTCAAGTTCCTTTAGGAGAAAAGTCATTTTCATACCAGCACAATTATATATATCCAATAAACATTTGAATTGTATCATGTTGAAAGTAAAGTTTGTATATTTTATAAAATGTCATGTCAATGTGGGTGCCCTTAAAGTCTGCTATTTTTTTAAATACATTTTCTATGCAAATTACGGCATGTGGTGCCCTCTTTTGGTTGGGCTCATCTAGTCTGAGAATTTGATGGTACCTTTTATGATTAAAAAGGTGCAAAATTATACTATCAAAAAGCAGTTTCTGCGCCCCATCCAAGAGACCTGGCCTAGGTGGAGATGGTGTTTGCAGACTGAGAAAAGAAGCACTTCAATGTCAACTTCCTTAGTTATCAGACTGCACATTGTAACTTTGTAGCAAGTCACAAGGTGAGAGGCTACAGCAGGGGATGATCTGTGCTAAACATTTGTGAACAGAGCAAGGAACTGCACAGACACCAGCATTTACATGACTTTGCCATCTCTGAGCCAACATCTCAGTCCAGGAACTAGATGCTGACTACGGATAGTGCTTGAATAAAGAAGGCTCCATTTTCGGAGATAGAAGCAGGTGAAGGCATGCACTACATAAATACAATTCTAAATATAGGCCTGCTTTAAAACCCATCTCTTGCCAAAGATTGTGCCCCTCGCATCCTTTTCAGGACCTGGCTTGTCACATGACCATGGATACACAACTCAATACACATTAGTAAACTAAACATGAGATTGTAGTCCATGATGGGAGTGAGCTTGGTGTGGTGGCTACTTTACAACACACACAGGGATCATGGGGGACAAAAGTAGTCCCCCTCCAGAAGGAATGAGAGTGTCAGCACCAATTTAGAGATGATTGGAGGATCTACAGCCGAGTAATACACAAATAAGATCAAGTGTTGTTAATAGTTAAGATATTTGAATTCATTTTTAAGATTTAACTTCTGAGTTTCTGTATAGTTTCTGTATGGAGCAATATAACGTGGGTGGAGTTATTGGAGATTGGTCTGCAGAAATATCACTGCACATCGCACACATGCTGAAACTATTTGGATACTCACAGGTGGGAAAAGGTTATTGCTACATATTTGTCTGCAGAATTTGCATGCGCTGCAAACTAGTTAGATAAACAGATACACGTTAGATTGCATGGGCTGCAAACTTTAAAGGTGCCCATGCACTGCACGATTCGCGTACGAGAATTGCAGGAAATCCCGCAATCATACGAGAATCATGCAGTGTGAATGAAGACGTGCGACCGGTCTAGGGAGCATGCTAGAAAACCAGCCAAAAATCGTACGATTTTCTGCTGGTTTGAATGATGCTCGGGAGACAAATGCCGAACGGGCCGGTGTGCGCACGCGCACACTGCCCGTTCAGCATTGCGGTCATCAGAAGCCCGCCCCTCAGGGGGGCGGGCTTGCGATGATCGCAAGTACGATCTGCCTGTCCAAGATGGGCAGATCGTACGTTTTTTTAATTACTTTACAACCATTGCAAGACTAAGGTCTTGCGATGGTTGTAAAGTGTATGGCCACCTTAACATTGAACTCAATCAGCTAAATAATCTTTTGAAATACATATATGTTGTTTTTGCCTACACAGTAATTTGCAGTTCTGTTGAGCCATCCAAGTGATTAACAAAGGTCTGTGATACTGTCTGCCCAGAAAGATTCCGTTCATTTTCCAAACGTAGCCTTTTCTCGAGCCACCTACCTTATTGGACAGACATATCAGATGATTATTCATAGAGCATCGAGCAGAAGCAGAGAGGTGACATGGGAATCTTCTAAATGAAACCAGAAAACTGCAGGTCTAGGGTTCTGAGGATGCAGGTTTCTCATATACTTCTTTTTAAAATAATAATAAAATATGGCTATGTTGTCTAGCAGAGGTGCATAAATCACAAGAGTGACTAAACAAAAATGTAGAAAAGAAGTCACCCTTGGACCTTGGAGTGCGGGTGACTTCTTTAGGACATTTCTGTGATTATGTGGCGCCATCCGCAGGTCATACCAGCACCCATCTATCTTATGGGATTCCGGTCAGGAGTGCTGTACATTGCTGAACAAAATATGTATGTACACAAATATTTACTGTCCAGCCAAAATGTTTAAAATAACTGGTTTTAGATGATAGTTACATTACTGGATCTACACTTAAGCTCACACTGCAGATATATAGCCATTATGTTGTAGACACAGGCATGCCTAGACACCCTCACATGCCAGAAAATAGAAAAGGTTCTTTTTCCAGGCACTACATAAGTAGAGTATACATGGGTGGATTGCCAAAACGAACATTCATACGAAAAATCCTATTAAACATTCAATAATGCCATCAGAGGCTTGGTGATTGTCATTGAAATTTCATTTGCTTTTCATTTAACATTTGATTTTGGAATGAATTAAGTTTTTGGAATGAAAACCACATTCACTGTTAGAATTTAGTTTGATTGAGAAAAAATGTCCAACATGCTCTTTTGATTCTTTTGTCACAACAGTTAAAATTGATCATCAATTTGACCCCATCAATGATTAAAAAATCATTCTGAAAACCATGTTGTGCATTCAAAATACCAACCGTGTATACCCTACTATAGACACAAGTAACATTTTTCATCTTCTTTCTATGTGAGTTCAGTTCTACTTTAAAAGTAAGCTTAATTCAGGACCATGTTAAGTCAGTCAGTAAAGGACATTTAGTGATATATAATAAATAACAATAAAAACTCAAAGTGTGTTTTACAGTTCTCTTTATTTTATGAAGCCAAAATAGGAACTGATTGCAGCATATTTAAAGGAGAACTATGGGGAGAGTGAAATGCACTCATTCCCATAGTTAGAGCTGACGTGTAACACTGGAGCTGTCACACATTGGCTCTTTTGATCGAGAACCGAGCAATCAAAAACTGCTGATCACTAAATTCCTGATCTTCTCCATGCGGAGAGTAGTGACTGTCAGTCACCACTCTCCACAGGGATTTTCTCCTCCCCTCTCCATTCCTCCAGTGCTGACTGGAGGGACAGATGGAATAAGGGGTGGGCACAGCTCTCTAGAGGCAGAGCCAGCTGTCAATCAGGCAGCGTGGTGGATCCCGACAATATTTTCTTAGAGCTCTACCCTATGCTGTCAGCATATAGCTGGCAATAGCCTACTATATACTGAGTTTTGGGTCACAGGAGGACATCAGTAAATATCCTCCTGTGACCCAACGGAGAACGTATGCCAGAAAAGGCTTGGCCATATGTTTCTTTTAAAACAAAATACATCAATAAACACAATGTAAAGAAATATTAATTATGTCTCACAGTTTGAGAATTCCATTTGTGCTGGTTAAGAGAGAAATGTGTTTTAATTATGACCAACCCAAACAGCCTTGACCATGTTTCATGATTAATTTTAACATCACTACTAAATATTAAAAAAGCTCAAAGGGTTTTATCTGATAGGATCAAGCAGGGAATATGGCCTATCTTATTATTATTGTTATCTTGTTATTTTTTTCCTCACAATTTTAACATGCCCTTAGGAAAATGTCGCAAATTATTATGCTGAAATTAATATTATAATACAGGATTTATATAGCGCCAACAGTTTGCACAACACTTTACATTATATGGAGACATTACAGTAACAATACAATTCAAATCAAGAAGGTAAGGAGGGCCTTGCCCTTGAGAGCTTACGTGGTTTACAAATACAATTATACATAACAGGTGTTATGTTCCAGAATATTGCTAGACTACAATAAAAATAATTGCTTGTACTGGCTTAGTGGAACTTCAGACATTTTCTGTTCTTATAGAATTGAAAAGAGTAGAATCCGTGGCATGTTTTTATTGCTAATTTTGTCATTGTTGAAAAGATTTTCTTACTTTATGATCTGTTAACAAGTATCACCCAGGACAGGGGTTCAGGGG